GGGAACAGCCCTGCTGGAAAGAGGAAACAAGCAGGCAACCCCCAAATTTCCTCCGTGCTGATTCCCATAAGATTATAACCCAGCTGCCCGTGTCACAGCAGGCTCCAGGCTTCCACTGAGAAAACTAAGGGCTTGTATTAGAAAGAAAAAAAAAAATAAATTGACCCAGTTATGACAAAACGAAGCAGCACGTTCACAGCATCGCTGTGGAAACCCATGAGCAGCCACAACAAGGCCCTCGGGAGTAACAGGATTCCACTTCAAATGAGATTTACAAATTAAAAATAAAAGAGCTGGATTATTTCTGTGTGCCTGATCCCCATTTCCTGGCTGCCCAGCCACCCTCAAGTGGACACTGCAGGGTGGGGTAGGGTGCCATGGACACACAAACCTCGGGAATTTGGGAAAATCCTTTCCTTTGCCTCTCTGACCTTGCAGTCAAGCACCTGCCCCATGTCAGGCAAAGGAGGAGAGCTGGACAGAGATTCCTGGTAACTCCCTCTGGTAACTCCCTCAGAGACCCCAGAAACCAGACCAAAATCCAGACTGGTTCCAGTTTGCCAGGCAGGGAGATCAGAGCAGCGTTTTTGCCGTTGCTCTTGGCTGAGCACAACTCGCTCTGGGTGCAGCCTCGGGAGCTCTGCTGGAGCTGCTGGGATTTGCCAGAGCTGCTGGAGCTGATGGAATCTTCCCAAGCTTCTGGGATCTGCCAGGATGTCCTGGAGGTCCCAGGATCTGCCGGAGCTGCTGAGATCTGCTGGAATTGCAGGGATCTGCCAGGATCCGATGGAGCTGTCGGGATCTGCCAGAGCTCTGGGATCTGATGGAGCTGCAGGGATCTGATGGATCTGCCGGGATCTGATGGAGCTGCAGGGATCTGATGGAGCTGTCGGGATCTGATGGAGCTGCTGGGATCTAATAGAGCTGCCAGGGATCTGATGGAGCTGCCAGGATCTCATGGAGCTGCAGGGATCTGATGGCTGTGCCAGCTGCACCTCACTACAGGGCTGGGGGAATGTCTTGCACACCTGCCCACTCTGCCACAGCCCCGGGTTGTCACCGAGGGAGAAGTGTTGACAGCACCACACGGAGCGGAGCAGGCTCGCAGCTGAGCCGGGATTGCTCAGCTCCTTGGCAGGGAAATGACAGGGCCCAAAGAGCGCCTGTCTCTCCCAGGAAATCCTGCAGTGCTTGAGGAGACATTACCTGGATCAGCAGCGGGAGGAAAAGGCTGGGAGCTGACAGAGCGTGAAGAGGTTGGCGTGGGGGAGCTCTCCCCACATCCCAGCTGCTTTATGGCTTGGGGGGAGAGCCTGAGCAGGAGGGAGATGGAGAACCTGCATGGAAAATGGGAGCTGGGGTCCCTCCTGCTCAAATTTTGTGCATGAAAGACAAAACACAGCCTGCTGTGCACTCTTATTTTTTGGGTCAAAAGCAAGGTCACCTCCCTGTCCACCCCCAGCCCCTGCCCTGGGTACCACAGAGCCACCAGCCATGGCCAGGTAATCCCTGCTGGGGGAGGGCCGGCCCAGAGAACCCAATTGTAAATACATCAGTGTCCTCCTTCTTCCTGCCGCACGTTTAAATCTATTTGATCCACTCTAATGGATTGATCTACAAGTTTGTGCACACACATCCTGCTTTGGACGGGCGGCTGGCAGCGCCTCGCCCATCACGGCCTGTCAGCTCCACTCAGCCTCATCTCGAGCGCAGAGCGAATCCAATTACAGGATAAAGGGTTTTCTTCCCCTCCATATGGTCTCTATAACGCTGGGGCTTTATCTTGCCTTAACCCCTTTCCTGGCGAGGGAGCTCCCAAGCCCGGCCTAAGCGGCTCAGCGCCGCGGCCCTGGGTGGCTGCTATGTGATACGGGAAATGGGGTCTTCCCAGGGCACCCAGAGGCACATTCCCCCCTCTTTTCCTGCCCACTGGGGAGGAATGAGCCCCCAGGGAAGGGAGATTCAGGGCAGCACTGCTTATAAAAGCAGCCAGAATGAGCCCAGCCATGCAGAGCTGTGCTCACAGCCAGGGTTCGCGGGGCTGTGCGTCAGCCCAGCACCAGGAGCTCAGCACAGATGTTCCCTTCATGACTGATTGGTTGTGCTCCTGCATTTCCCTCCACCTTGCTCTGCCAGGTGTCACCTGGGTGGCAAGTGGCTCCTGTGCCCAGCAGGGTTGGGGATGGGCACCACAAAAGGCTCCAGGAGCCCCCCTCCCCTGTGTGAGCTGTGCCTGTCTCTGAACCCTGTGAACCAGGCGTGTCGGCTCTGTGCAAGCTGGTTATTTGATTATAATTATCATCCCTTGCTTTACACAGGACATGAAAGCGCAGAGCAGCTCCGGGCCCCGTCACGCCGCGCGCCAACAAACAATGAGCGAGAGACAATCCCTGCTCAAAGCAGGCAAACCTGCAAGGGGCAGGAAAAGCCTTTTCTTGAGGACAAACACAGAGCAGCAAAGCTCTCCTCCCGCATTAGGCAGGGCCTGGAATTCGCTGCTGTCGTAGAGTCAGCACAGAAAACAACCGGGAGCTCTCCTGGAGAGAGAGCAGCTCATAAACTTTCCCTGCTTAGAGATAGCAAATTAAAGCCATCTCTGTGACAGGGCTGCAGCAGGAGCTGAGGTTGCATTCAGGACACGTCCTGGAGGGACCAGGCGCTCTCAGTGGTGTCATTTCCCTGCTCTGGGTTTACTCGAGGCCTTGGCCATTGCTCCGGCTGTGCTGACCTGCCCAGAGCTCTAAATCCTCCAGCCTTGGGGCAGTGACCCCAGGGGACAGGTCTGTGAGGACAGCTGGGAGGGGACAGCCCTCTTACAAAGCACAGGTGGCTCAGGCTTACCTGCTCCACAGGCAGCTCCCAAAAATGGGAAGGGCATGATCCAGGTCGGTTCAAACCCTCTCAGCCCAGTTGTCCCTTTGAAAGGTGTCTGGGGGCCACTCATGAATCCAAATCTCCTCCTCACTCAGCTGCCAGGTGACTGGAGAGGATCTGCTGAGCCAGGAAAGGTCCCTCTCCCAAAAAGTGCAGCTGAGTGTTCCCCCAGCATCCAGACTCAGTGTCCCTGTTCCCCCACAGCTTCCTTGGCACCCCTCTTGACTTTAGAAGAGGGCAGGACACCCCAAAGGGTGCCAGGAAGGGATGGGAGGTGACAATCAACTTTCCCATGGGGTACCTCTGTCCAGATGCAAAGCCTTGGAGAAGCTCCAGAACTTTGGGATGCTGCTGGCACTGGCAGTGAGGTCCAATTGTTTTTGAAGTGAAATCTTGGAGCTGAAGATTTGCTTTCTCTTTTGAAGGTGGGCCACCACAGTGACATATTGGAGCTGGAGAGAGTTGCTTTTTCCCATGGGAACTGGGAAGTCCACACTGGAATTGGGATGGATGCACAGCTGGTTTTGTGGATTAGAATTTCTGGGACCTCCTTTGATATTCAACTCATTCTGCAACAACATGCCAAATTTTTGTACAAATGTTTTGAGCTTGACTATGGCCAGGAGAGGCAGGAAATTCCTCCAGGCAAAGCTCTGTGAGAAGCAGGGCCATGGGACTCCTCCACTTTCCCCTCATCCCCTCTAGGAAGACCTGGACCAGGAATTTGGTGCCTGGTGGTTTCACAGTGCGACGATTCCAAGAGGCACATCCATCCCGTGAGGAACCCTCATCCCAGGGCACCTGAGGCTGGCCTGACCCACTTCCCTGCACCACGTCCTACTTCTGCACCCACTGGGTCAGGAATTAGGACACCATCCATGCCAACACCCCCTTAGCCTTCCGCTCCAGCTCCAGGCGTGCAGGAGCCCTCATTCATCCATGACTTTTTCCATGGGCTGTGCCTTGAGGAGGAGCCCCAGCTTACCTCGTTATCCGATCAGCTCCCTTAACCCCCCACGTCCCCAGGATTAAGGGAAGAGCTGCCCTAAGGCGCCTTAGGCAGCTCCCCTGGAGAAGGAGCCCCCATGACCCAGAAGGAAGAAATGGGGAAGAAGAACTTGGATGAGATGGAGCTTTGGCACGGGCCCTGGGGATCCCACACTCCGTGCTGGGAGCCTGGGAAGAGCTCCCTTCCATCCCTCTGGCTCTCCCAGGCTGTGCTGGTCTCTCTGCAAAGAGTTCAGGACATCTTTGCTCTCCTTTGCCCCGTGGCACAACCAGGGATGTGATCAGGGTCACACAACCAAGAGCTCTGCCCCAAAATGCTACATTTACCAAAAAATTACCAACTGCATTACCTTTGGGATGGGAAGTGGCTTCCCCTCCTACCTTTGCCCAGCTCCAGGCCCTTGGCTGTGTCAGCAGAGCCCGGATTTGGGATGCAGACCCCAGCAGTCCCCACACTGAGCCAAGCACCTGAAACAGAGCCCAGCCAACAGCTCAGACCCACAAAGCTCAGTCCAGTCTTCCCCCAGTGACCTGCCCAAGGTCAGTGGGGCAGAGCTGGCCACTCCCCAGTCCCCAGGTGGTTTCACAGGGTCCTTCAGCCGCCCAGGGACGCCCCAAACCTGTGACACACTGTAGACCCCAGAACAGCCCATTTTCACATCGGCCCCTCCCAAACTCCCCACTGCTCCTCCCACCTTTGCCCCTCTTCCCAAGCGCTCCCCACCCCATCCCTTCCTGCCCCCAACACCTTAAACAACATTAAACACTTAATGGCAATTAATACTCTTTAATGCAGGTTTTGGGGCCAACTGGCTGCTTAGAGGGTGCTTAAACCATCAGCCCCTCTCAATCCCGTTGCCCTTGTCATACAAAGTTAGCCGAGCCCCTCGTCAGCCTTCCCCTCCCGGAGGGTATAAAACCACCCTGGGGCGCGGCACCGCCAGCCCCCGGCGCGGCACAGGGCAGGGCTCCATCCCCTCACCTTCTGCTGCTCCTCGTAATTCATCCATTTTTTGGGTCGGAGGGGAACCCTCTCAAGGGGGTGGGGCTTCCCTTTTTTAATTAATCAGGGTCGGAACTCAATTCATTGCAGAAAATCCCTCCGTAGCCAGGGCAGCATGAACGGGACGGAGGGGATCAATTTTTACGTGCCTATGTCCAACAAGACCGGGGTGGTGCGGAGCCCCTTCGAGTACCCGCAGTACTACCTGGCCGAGCCCTGGAAATACCGCCTCGTGTGCTGCTACATCTTCTTCCTCATCTCCACCGGCTTCCCCATCAACTTCCTCACCCTCCTGGTCACCTTCAAGCACAAGAAGCTCCGGCAGCCCCTCAACTACATCCTGGTCAACCTGGCGGTGGCTGACCTGTGCATGGCCTGCTTTGGTTTCACCGTCACCTTCTACACCGCCTGGAACGGCTACTTCGTGTTCGGCCCCATTGGCTGTGCCGTGGAGGGATTCTTTGCCACGCTGGGAGGTAAGGGATGGGCATGGGGGATTGGGGGTTCCTTCTCCAGGGCTTTGGGAGTCTGGTTCCATCCTTCATGGCACTGTTGGGATGTGCAGAGTTGTTCCTCCATGTGTGGGGCGAGCCCTGCGCTTAAAATGGGGGAGGAAAAGAGATTTCTGTGGGTTTGACCTTGATCGCAAGGAGCCTCCATGGCATGGGGCAGGGAGAGGAAGCCTGGGAAGGGATCCTTGTTTGTAGGATCCAGTCTGGGGTCACCTGGCCCTGCTGGTCACAAGGTGGTTACCAGAGACCTGCCAGGGATGACCACGGCGTGTTCCAAATCAACGCCAAGCAGCTCAGACCAACAACAGCCTTGGACTTGATCGCCTTACAGGTCTTTTCCCAACCTTCACGATTCCATTATTATTCCTTAACCCAAAGGCTTCCCTTTTTGGGGAAATGGAGGGTTTAGAAGGGGAGGAGAAATCCCTCAGGAAGGGGACCCCATGGAAGAGCTAGAGAGGTGTGGAGAGATGAGAGGGCTCACAGCTTATCCAGGGGCAAACGGAAGGTGAGGAGGATCCAGGGCAGTTCCCAGGCTCCTCAAGGATGGCTCAGCTCTGTCCCAGCTGCACCAGATTTGAGTGCCCTTGGGATTTTCCTTGAGGCGTTTCTCAGGGACACACACGAGTGCTGCCAACACTTGGCCCTGCAGAAAAACAGGGAGAATTCACTCGGCAGCCGAGCCCACGCAGCCAGCCCTGCCCACGCCACACCTCGTGATGGATCTGACAGCCACCAGTCCTTGTTGGAGACACCCAGAGCCACCACGGGGACTTTGCTTTCCTTCCCCTAAACTGTGCCATTTCCCACAGTGATGCTGCTCTGAAAATACACATTTTAAAAACACGGATATTCTGCCAAAGGCACAGCTGAATGTCCTGATCCAATGCAAGGAGCAAGGAAAGGCTTGGTTTTGGGGTCGGAAGATCCCAAAGTCTGCTCCATCCCTGCTCAGTGAGCCTTGGGCCTCGTTATTTTGCCTTTCCAATGTTTGTAACTCTCAGAGGAGGAGGAGGAGGTTCCTGTTCCCAGGGAAGGAAGTTGGCTGGGAAGCAGCGGGCTGTGCGAGCAGCAGGTCCCCAGCGAATCCCAGCACAGGGTGTCGTTATCAGCAGCTTATCACAGCTGGGGGCATTAGCAGGCTTACAGCACCGACTAAACGCTCCCAAATCCCCTGAAGTTTAATTATCCCTCATAAATACATGTGCACGTTTCCCACCCACACAGTCCCCCCCTCCCCGCGCCTCCCCCAATCCAGCGCCAGCAGAAGGCTCGTGAAATGCACAATTTAAAGGAATCAACAGGTTTGGAGGCATCTGGCAGCATTGCCAAGAACTGTGCTTCCCCACACCCAGGTGGGATTCGCTCCCTTGATTCTTAATTTATTAAAACCCCTCCGCCCCCAGCATCCCCTCTGCACGTTATGGGTGGAGGATTCCCAATTTCCTAGCCGGATGCTGCTTATCGCACGCTGATCCCCAGTTCCCCTGCTCTCCTCTGGAAGCACCAAGGGAAGGTGGAGCCCAGAGGGGCTCTGACCACTCCGTGGGCTCTCCCTCTCCTCCCTGCAGGCCAGGTCGCCCTGTGGTCCCTGGTTGTCCTGGCCATCGAGCGCTACATCGTCATCTGCAAGCCCATGGGCAACTTCCGCTTCTCCGCCAGCCACGCCATGATGGGCATCGCCTTCACCTGGGTCATGGCCATTTCCTGCGCCGCCCCGCCGCTCTTCGGCTGGTCCAGGTGAGCCCCAGGATCCCCAGCAGCTCCTGGATCCCTGCAGGGAGAGCAGGGGGCTCCAGCAGGGAAGTGCTTGGCCTTGGAGGAGGGAAATGAATGTCCCGTTCTCATGGGAGGGAGTGTCACAGCAAGCTGACACTGCGAGCACCCAAACCACCTGTACCACCCTCCCAGCATCCCCCATCCTCAGGGAATTGTTGCCCCCAGGGAGGGTCCTGGAGCAGATTCCCACCTTTCTCCCTGCCAGGTACATCCCGGAGGGGATGCAGTGCTCCTGTGGGCCCGACTACTACACCCACAACCCCGACTTCCACAACGAGTCCTACGTGCTCTACATGTTCGTCATCCACTTCATCATCCCCGTCGTCATCATCTTCTTCTCCTACGGGCGCCTCGTTTGCAAAGTCCGCGAGGTAACGGCCGGAGGGGACTGAGGGGACAGAGGGGTGGCTCAGGCGGGATTGGGGGACGCAAGTTGGGGTGCAGAGCTGCCCCTCACCACCCTCTGTGCGCACAGGCAGCTGCCCAGCAGCAGGAATCGGCCACGACCCAGAAGGCGGAGAAGGAGGTGACGCGGATGGTGATCCTGATGGTGCTGGGCTTCATGCTGGCCTGGACGCCCTACGCCGTGGTGGCGTTCTGGATCTTCACCAACAAGGGCGCCGACTTCACGGCCACGCTGATGGCAGTGCCTGCCTTCTTCTCCAAGAGCTCCTCCCTCTACAACCCCATCATCTACGTGCTCATGAACAAACAGGTGAGACACCCACATCTGGGGGCTCCAAGGGCACGTTGCTCCTTCCCAGAAGGATCTCAGTCCATCCTGGTCCTGCGGCACGTCCCTCCTTGCCCCCAGTGCCACCATTGTCCTTTCTCTCCCCTCCCCAGTTCCGTAACTGCATGATCACCACAATCTGCTGCGGCAAGAACCCCTTCGGGGATGAAGAGACCTCCTCCACCGTATCCCAGAGCAAGACCGAGGTCTCCTCCGTCTCCTCCAGCCAAGTATCACCTGCATAGAGCATGGACAGTTTGAACTGGGGTGACCTGCCGAGCTCGGGGACCCCGACAGACGCCCCCCAGCCATCCCCTCGTGCCCCGGCCCCCTCCCCTGCAGGGGAATTTGGCTGTGCCCGTCCTGTCCTGCCATAGCAGTGCAGACCCCACCCCACACATCCACGAGGCACTCTGAGCTCTGCCAGAGTGCTCCCACTCTGAGGTGCCCCCAGGAGCACGTCACCTCTGGGGGACTGTCCCTACCTGTCCCCATCGAGTCTGAACAGCAGTGGTTGGTGGGGACCCCAAACCTTTTCCTGCCTGAGTCCTGGTCCCATCCAGCATCACCCTTCCCTGGGTGCCAGGAGCATCACAGGAGCACCCAGGCCTCATTTGCAAAAATCTAACTATTCTGGCAAAGCCCCAGGAGCAGGACCCGTGGCTGGGGTGGCCCCAGCTGCCCCTCACCATGGCCTGAGCCTGGGGCTCTCTGAGCCACGCTCCCGCCGGGATTCCCAGAGGAATCGATTCCTGCAGCCTCTATAAATCAATATAACAAACGGAGCCACGAGCGGGCTCTGCCTCCAGCCCAGCTCCCTCTATCCCCAAGACAACATTGTAGATACATTTTTTTTTGTCTTGGAACCTGTAAATATTTGCTCATGTCCTTTGAAATCTCTATCCCTCTCAGCCCTTTCCTTTCTCCTCCTGTTGCCCACTCCAAAGCAGAGAAATTCCCCTTCCAGCTCTGCTCTGGCTAGACAGGCACGGCCAACCTTGGAGGGTGGGGCCGGGACCCGAGCTCTTTCCTGTACATATTTTATAAATAAATCATCTCATGTCAGCACAAGGACGTCTGCAGTCAAGGAGTAGGGGTTTAAAAAATTAAGAAATAAACAGAAGAAGCACAGAGAAAAACACAGATGCTCAGTCCTTGTCCTTTCTCTTGGGCTGTGGGGACAAGATGCTGGTGGCCAGCTGGGGGAACACAAGACACAAACCTGCAGCTGTCCCAAAAGCCATGGGAGGGGGAATCTGTGGGTGACACCATCCCCACAAGGTGGCAGCCCCATTAGCTGGAGCACCAAAGGTGTTTAGAGGCAAAAAGAGACACACAGGGCACAGCCCTCGCTGCCCAGCTAGGGGTTTTGTACTTTGATATTTAAGATTTCCCCATGTAGCCTTAAATAAAGCTTCAGCTGAGAGCTCCTTGCAGAGTTCAAATTCTCCTCCTTGTGGGGCCCTTCCAGGCAGTGTTGTGACAGAATTGGAAGAATCAGGGAAAAGTTGTTCCCTGTGTCAGTGAATTCATTCAGGAGCGGCTGCAGAGCGATCCCAGTGCCAGAACCTCGCCCTCCTCCCCTCCCTGCCCAGCTCACACTTCCCCTCTCCGGTGTTTTTCCTCCTTTTTGCGTCCAAAGCCACCAAAACCAGCAGGACGGCCCAGGCTCATCCCTGGCAGGGATAAGAAGCATTTTTGCCCCCAAACACCAGGCCTGGGAAGGGAAGGATGCAGCCCCAGCCCCTCTCTCCAGGCACCCTCCTGTCTCTGCACCCACCCAAACCTGGGGCTCCTGGCCAGGGTTGCCCTGGAGCAGCTCCCACCCCACTCCTGCTGTGCTGGATGATTCATGGCCACTCTGCCCATCCCAGGAGCCTTTTTTCTTTCCCTACAAAGCCCCAAACCAAGCTCAGAACTGATTTCTTCAAACCATGCGAGCAGGGGAGGAGCAGCCACCAGACAACCAAAAACCCAAACCTCACCCAGCCCAACAGACCCAACCCTTCCCTGACAGACAGCATCTCACTCAAAGGTTCCTCTTGAAAAAATCACCCAGGAGTTCTTCCCTCCCACTTTTCCAGAAATCCATGGATTTATCCAGGCACTGCATTTGCAACCAGCAGGGACCATCCTGGCATCACCCACTCAGAGCAGGCACCACCAGCTGCTCCAGTGCTGCTGGCCTGGCACTGCTGCCACCCAAATTCAGATGCAAACTGAGGAAAGCAGCCAGACTCATCCAGGGAACGGAGACAGCTGGAATCTCAGGCCCAAAGGGCATCTCAGTGTCTGACTCCCATCCTCCTGCAGCTGGGACTGCTCCTCCTCATCCCAGCACTGCTGTCAGCTGCTTTAGGAAAAGTGCAGTAATTGGCCCAATTCATTTTAAATCAGTTCTCATTTGTGCAAGCAGCACTCGGGGAAAAGCAGCTTGGAGTTTATAACATCCTGATTTGGAGCATCCACGGGGATGAGGGGGAAATCTCAGTGAGGTTTTGTGGTCTTTGCCCCACAGCCCTGGGCACAGACAGAACACAAAAAAGGGACAAACCAGGGTGCTGGCCCAGGGCTGTTCCCAAAAACATTCCTCCTGCCCAGGGCTGATCTCTCCAATGGCACTGCCTGGATTTCTCCCAGGACATTTTTATCCCATCACTGCAGAAGGAGCAGCTCCACGCCAGAGGGTCTGGCTCTGCTCGTTTGTCTCTGCCAAAGGAAAAACATCTCCTTGTCCAGCCACGAGGAACAAGAAGATTAAAACCCTCAAACACTCCCCCCTTCCCTCTGTGCCATCACACACAGCACTGGAGAGGCAAAATCCCTCTCTGAGGTGCCCAGACCCTGCTACCAGGGGGAAAAGCTGCTCCTTAAGGGAAAAGCTGCTGGAATTAGAGCTTGGGAGAAGCCAGGATTGCCCCTGACAGTGCCAGGGGGACCTTGCACAGCCCCAGCAGCCCAGGGAGACCCAGGCAGCGTTTGCCTCCCACCCAGGAGGGTTCAGGAGTCCCCACATTTGTGTCACTTCCCAGCAGGGCCACGTTTGTGTCACATCCCCAGCCCGAATCCATCAGGGCTGCCTGTGTCACGTTAGCAGCAATGAAAGGATCCAAACAGCAATTCCTTACTTTTATGAACAAATAGCCCTGGCTGGATGATTCAGGCAGCATTCAATTCCCAGCCAGAAAGTGTCAGCAAAATCCCAGCCTCTCACATGTAGGTGGATAACTGCAAATGAAAGGAGGGAATTATTAGCACTTAATACTCGGTGGGTTTGCACTCCCCGTGCTCCTCTCCAGGAGATGCCGAACGCTCCAGTGCTCCTGCAGCTGGGGGGGCCCTGCCAGGGGGGCTGCAGGGACTGGGGTGGTGGCTTTGGACACTGGGATCCACCTCACCCCACGGCCAGGGCCCTGCTCCAGCCCAGCCCCACCAGAACCCCTGATCTCCTGCAGCCTGTCCCTTCCACAGCTCTTTTCTCCTCCAATCCATCCTCTCCAGATCCCTTTTATCCTCCAGACTTTCCCTTCCAGAACCCCATTTCTCCTCCAACTTGTTCCATCCAGAGCCCCTTATCTCCTCCAGCCTGTCTTTTCCACAGCCCTTTTCTCCTCTGATTCATCCTCTCCAAAACCCCTTTTATCCTCCAGACTTTCCCTTCCACAGCCCTTTTCTCTTCCATCTCATCCCATCCCATCCCATCCCATCCCATCCCAAGCCCCTTTTCTCTTCCAGCCTGGCCTTTCCAGAACCCCTTTTTTTCCTCCATCCCATCCTCTCCAGAACCCCCTTTCCTTCTCCAGCCTGACCCCTCCAGAACCCCTTTTCTCCTCCATCCTGTCCTTACCAGAGTCCCTTTTATCCCCCATCCCATCCCATCCCATCCCATCCCATCCCATCCCATCCCATTGATCCCATCCCATTGATCCCATCCCATCCCATGGATCCCGTGCCATGAATCCCATCCCATCCCATCCCAAACCACTTTTCTCTTCCAGCCTGTCCTTTCCAGAACCCTTTTTTCCTCCATCCAATCCTCTCCAGAACCCCTTTGCTCCTCCAGACCTTCCCTTCCAGAAACCCTTTTCTCCTCCAGCTTGTTCCATCCTGAGCCCCTTTTCTCCTCCATCCCATCCCATCCTGAACCCCCTTTTTCCCCCCAGCCCATCCCCTCCAGAGCCCTTTTCTCCTCCCCACACCCCCTCTCCCACCTCCCCATCCCCACCCAGGGACCCTCAGGGACCCCAAACCCTCGGTGACACAAATCCCCAGCTCCAGAGGGACCCAGAGAGGCTCCCCAAGCACCTGGGGCTGCTCCTGCCATGCAGGATCGTGCTCCTCACTCTCCATTTCTCCTTCACCCAGCCTGCCCGTATTTTTCTTGTTCATCAGACTGACAAATGGGCAGAAAACAGACTCCTGGTGATTTCCTGCACTGGCTGCCCACTCCTCCTCTCCCCTCGGCCATGACTGAGAGCTGAAAAAGCAGGAATAGCATATAAATTTCCTCCCTGCTTTAATAAATACCTCTATTACCTACCGAGCTTTCCCCCGGCTCGCTGTGCAGCTCCTGCTGCCCGCCAGGCAGATGTGATAAACCAAAATTCACATTTCTGTGGGCAACCAGCAGCAGGGCTCAGGCAGGCTGGCAGCAGCATGGGAGGGGTGAAGCTCCCACCTCGGGGGTCTGGCTGCAGCTCCACATCATCCACGGGGAGATAAATTAATTCATTTATTGCCAAAGGGGAGCTGGGGTGTGTCTGGTCCCTCTGCGGACTCCCTGTGCTGGTCCCAGGGGGAGGAGGGGTCTCATCATTCCCAGACACCTCTGAGCCCCTCGGGGTGAGCCTGGGGTTTCCTGAAGGGTGGGGATAAAGACAAACCCTGCTAAAATCTCTGCAGGGGGAGCAGAAGGGTTTGGTGGTGGAGGAAAAGCTGTCACAGCTGGGATCTGTGCTGGATTCCTCCTCCCTGAGCTTCTTCTCATCCAGATCCTTGCCTGGGGCTCTCAGGACACCCAGGACAGGATTTGTCACTGTCCCTTGGCCAGGAGACCCCCGAGCAGTGCAGGACCAGCCCGAGCATCCCAGTGGGATGCACAGACCTCGCTCCATCCCCATGCCACCCCATCCGAAGGACAACAGGCAAAACCCACCGGCCTTTTACTGCTGCTTGCCAGCAGCCCCCGGGGCACCCCTGTCCCCTCTGCCACCCCCTGACCCAAGCGGGCAGTGCCACTGTCCCC